ATACCAACGTGACGGCAGGCGGCCGATAGAAGGGGCCGATGAGTCACGATGGGAAGCCGGGTTTCGGGTCGACATTCCGGAATTTGCAGGTGGTGTGGATGGTTCGGATTTTGTTGAGTGGTGGGCTTCAGTTGAGGCCGTTCTTCGATTCAAGGGGGTCCCGGAGGATAGGCGTGTGGGTTTGGTCGCTACTCGTTTTCGGGGACGGGCAGCAACTTGGTGGATGCAACTCACTAGCATGCGGCATCGGCAAGGGAAACCGGAGTTGACATCTTGGTCGAATTTCAGAAAATATGTAGAGCGTGAGTTCGTTCCATTTAATTATGATAGTCTCGTTTATCAACAGTTACAAAATTTGCGACAGGGATCTCGGACAGTGGATGATTACACGAACGAGTTTTATCGACTGCTAACTCGTGTGGAGCTTCGGGAGTCCAAACATCAGTTGGTGTCTCGCTATGTCGGCGGGTTACGTTCGACGGTGCGCGATATGTTAAATCTTTTTCGTCCGGAATCCGTGTCCGATGCCTACCAGCGGGCACTTCTCGTCGAGGCTCAGGTCGCGCAAAAATCAGGTACTTCGGCCTGGTCGACACGGCCTGGGGGAGCTGCCGGCGGGACACCGTTTCAGCCTCGGCAAAGCGCACAAACGGGCAGCAGATCGGGCCAGGGAGCAACACCGTCGCGTGTGGCGGGGTCCAGCGGCACTAACCAGCGGACTGCGGGTGGCGGCGGGCTCCAGTTGTCACCAGCTGCGGCGCGTACAGTGGCCGGGCTTCGATGTTTTGGGTGTGGCGAGATGGGCCATCGCCAGTCCGTCTGCCCGAAGACTACGGCGACACGGGCTCTCTTTTCAGAGGAGGTTGGGGACTTTGCTGTAGATGGCGGTTATGAGGGGCCAGCGGTCTTCGATGAGGACACCGGGGAGCTTGAGGAGTATGTGTACGGTGACGTGGGGACGGCCCTGGTCCTTCGTCGCACATGTTTGTCCCCGAGGGGCTCGACTGATTCACCACGGGAGCGCCACCATTTGTTCTTGTCCACTTGCACGATCGGTTCTAAGGTGTGCCGCTTCATTATTGACTCGGGCTCTTGCGAGAATGTCATTTCTCAGGAGGCCGTGGACAAGTTGCAATTGGCTACCGAGCCTCATCCCCAGCCGTACACTCTTGCATGGATACAGAAAGGTACGGCAGTTACTGTTAATCGTCGAGCACTTGTTTCTTTTTCCATTGGTACTAAATATCGTGACCAGCTGTGGTGTGATGTGGTCCCGATGGATGCTTGTCATTTGTTGTTGGGACGTCCATGGCAGTACGATAGGGCAGCTACCCATGATGGACGGCTCAACACGTATTCTTTTGTTTTTGGCGGGGTTAAAATTATTCTGGTTCCTACTGCCCCGGAGTCGTTGCCAGCGCCGAGTCCCACAGCGCCGGTTCTTATTCTTTCTCGCACAGCTTTTCTAGCCGAGTTGCGTGACTCGCCGTACTGTTTTTTGGTGGTTGGGGTCGAACCGGGAGATGCACAGAGTCCACCAGCTGCCATCCGTCCACTCTTATCCGAGTTCTCGGATGTGTTTCCGGAGGATATTCCTTCGGGCTTGCCACCACTTCGCGACATCCAGCATCACATTGATCTGGTTCCTGGGGCTTCTTTGCCGAATGGGCCTCACTATCGGATGAGCCCGAGCGAACATGAGGAGCTGCGGCGTCAGGTGGAGGAGCTCCTTCAGCGAGGAGTGGTACGCCGGAGTTTGAGCCCGTGTGCGGTTCCGGCACTTTTGATTCCGAAGAAGGACAGTTCGTGGCGCATGTGCGTGGATAGTCGCGCCATCAATAAGATTACGGTCCGGTATCGCTTTCCCATTCCTCGATTGGATGACTTATTAGACCAGCTGCATGGTGCCACTATTTTCACCAAGCTGGATCTTCGGAGTGGCTACCACCAGATTCGGATTCGGCCGGGGGATGAATGGAAGACGGCGTTTAAGATTCGTGAGGGGCTCTTTGAGTGGATGGTGATGCCCTTCGGTTTGTCCAATGCCCCCAGCACGTTTATGCGAGTGATGAACCAGGCATTGCGAAATTTTATTGGCAAGAGTGTGGTCGTTTATTTCGACGACATTCTCATTTACAGTCGGTCTTTGGATGAGCACTTACAGCATGTGCGGGAGGTGCTCTGTGTTTTGCGTGCTGAGTCGTTTTTTGCTGCTCCTCGTAAGTGTTTTTTCCTGGTTGATTCAGTATTGTTTTTGGGGTTTATTATCTCTGCTGAGGGTGTTCGTGTGGATGAGGGGAAGGTGGCAGCCATTCGTGATTGGCCATCTCCTACGACTTTTACTGAGGCCCGGAGTTTTCACGGCCTCGCTTCCTTTTATCGTCGCTTTATCTCCCATTTTAGCACGATTACGGCTCCGATTACTGATTGCTTGACCGGCACGACATTTGAGTGGACCCCAGCTGCCGAGGATGCTTTTGTTCTTATCAAGAGCAAGTTGACCTCCGCCCCTCTGCTAGTGCTGCCGGATTTTTCGAAGCCGTTTGAGCTTTCCAGTGATGCTTCGAAGGTAGGCATTGGCGCTGTTCTCAGTCAGGATGGTCGGCCGATCTCGTTTTTTAGCGAGAAATTATCGGGCCCGAGGTCCCGCTACAGTACGTATGACGTCGAGTTCTATGCCGTGGTTCGGGCGGTTCGCAATTGGAGGCACTATCTTTTTCATCGCGAGTTCATCTTATATACGGACCATGAGGCCCTTCGCCACTTAGCCACACAGGCTAATATTTCGGCTCGACATGCCTCTTGGACGGCCTTCTTGCAGCAGTTTACTTTTGTCCTCCGTCATCGGTCCGGTGCTTCCAATAGGGTGGCTGATGCATTGAGTCGACGCGTGCTTTTGCTGACCGATATGCGCGTTTCTGTTACGGGCTTTGATGTGCTACGCGAGTTGTATGCCGAGGATCCTTTCTTTGGCCCGATTTTTGGGCGCCTTGCAGTGGGTCCGGTCGATGGGTACTTGCTGGCTGACGGTTTTCTCTTTCGGGGTGTTCGGCTTTGTATCCCGGATTGCAGCCTGCGCCAGAAGTTGATTTCCGACCTTCATGGTGCCGGCCACGTGGGACGAGACAGATCTGTTGAGCTCGTGGGGCGTTCCTATTTTTGGCCTTCCCTTCGTCGGGACGTCGGCCGGTTTGTCGAGCGGTGTCGGGTGTGCCATGTCTCGAAAGGGGTAGCCACGAATGCGGGCCTTTATCAGCCGCTTCCTATTCCCTCACGGCCTTGGAGCGCGATTAGCATGGATTTTGTGCTTGGTTTGCCACGTACTCAGCGCGGCTTCGATTCTATTTTTGTGGTCGTGGATAGGTTTTCGAAGATGGTGCATTTTGTTCCTTGCAGGCGGACCACGGATGCGGTCCATGTGGCCCAGTTATTCTTTCGGGAGGTGTATCGTCTGCATGGTCTCCCGTCATCCATTGTTTCGGACCGCGATACGCGCTTTCTTAGCCACTTCTGGCGTAGTTTGTGGCGCATGGCGAACACTCAGCTGGATTTCAGTAGCGCGTACCACCCGCAGACAGACGGTCAGACGGAGGTGGTGAATCGGTCGTTGG